AGCCCCAAACAAAAATGATCTCAAAACCACCCGGGGTCCTGTATAGAATCACTGACATCTTCTCTGATTCAGAATTCAGTTGTAAATATTAACTCATGCTGACAGACCTACTAAAGCTGAAACTGCTTTCCTTTAAAGGTGTTCCAACACCAGGTGGCAGCATTGAGTTATTTGTGACAGCGGTCAATGTTTCTGAGAGATGGTTTGCTCTTGACACCTTCCACTAGAAACAAAACAACAAAAGAGATGTATATCAGATCCACAATGGCTTTGAACATCTCGTGGTGAATTGTTGTCTTTTTTAAAACAGCCCTATTCATTCTGTAACACACCTTAACCTTAAAATGCAGAGGTTTTGAGTAGAGTTCACTAGTACAGACACACCATTCTTCAGCTTAAATTTGTTTGATGTTGTGGTGGAAGGTTATTTTCATTTTGTCTGTCAGTCATATCAGGGAACAACAACTCAAAATGGATCATTTGTGTTGTTTTCAGATTGGCCTTAGTGAGCAAGGACTTCACATCTTTGTGCATGCTGTGGCTAAGCAGTTTGTATAGGAGTCCATGCTTTTGTGCGAAAGAGAGAAAGAGAGAGAGACTGTGCTGAAGCATCCTCAGCCACTGATGCACTTATCTAATCAGTAATTCCACCTTTTAAATTAGCACACAATAACACATTACAAAAGGGGACTTTTTTGATTTTACTAAGATGAGCGTGGAACAAAATTCTCTTAAATTGGAAGACAAAAACATTCGATAAAGGTTAAAATATCCTTTGCTGTTCTTAGTCTGCTGCTATTTGCTATTTCACAAGAAATAAACATCCCGAGGAACATTATGTTGTATAATCATTGTATAATGTCATATAAATAAACACACACAATAAGTTAAATCAATGTATACAAATGTCATATACCTTCGATAATAACAAGGAACATATTGCTCCATTACCCTCAAGCTATAAAATTATTTAAAATCTCCTTTGAGGGAGGCACCGACAGGTAGAGTGGTTGAGTTTAAAAGGTGTGACAGATCTTTATGATTGTTTGGTGCATGTGTCTGGCAGTAAAATAGATAATTAAATGTATTTGAATATTTTCATAAATTATATAGAGTGTCAGTTTGTCCAGAGCACATACAGTAATATGAAGGGAAATTAATTTGTAAGTGAACGCATTATTTTGTTTTTAGGAACAAGACTTGTTTTACAAATGTCTAAGAGGTATTTCATTCAAACACAGAAGAAATCATTAAAAAACTTCTGAACTCATACATTACACATTAATGTAAGTGGAGCCTTAATATGTGCTAATGGTATGTTTAGTCATTTCTGTTCCTATATGCCAGGGTACAATCAAGCATGTCATGCAACAATGTCGAGGCAGGGCACATAATGTGGATATTGTACTGGTGGCACAGATTTCCATTTTCACACAGACAATGGGGACTGGGGGTTGGCTGGGGGCGGGGGGGTGTCTGAGCAAAAAAAATTTTTTTTAAGGATTCTCATCAGAGTCACCAAAACACTGAATGATTTACTGCCAAATTAATTACCCTTTACCCAACTTTAGACAATAATGCCTAGAGCTGTCTGTCGGAACAGCATTATTCTATTAGCGTTCGATTTGCAGTTCAGCCAGAGTGACTTCATATTTAGATTTGATTGTATTTTCTTAGTGAATGTGTAGCAATGCATCCACAATAGAAAGGCACAGAATTATCTGGCAGTTGAATCACCTGTGCAGCAGAGATGGGATCAGCACATTATTTGGAGAGAGAATTTGTTAAAAATTTTAAACACTGAACATATCTGTTCCACAGCATTACAAAAGGTGCATTTACAGAGTGAATCCAAGCACAGTACAGTTTAATTAATTGAAACTTTTACAATATAAGGCCTCTTTCGCAATCATAACCCATCTTTAATCAAATCTAAGACTTATTCATCTTTTTACCTCTCTCTGCTTGGTTTTGAAGGTCGTGTGATTCAAAGCGTTATTGTGTACATTTTTACAAAAGTACAGTATTAACAACACTCGTGAAATCAAAGTTGGCATATGTCTTTAATTAAATTTTACTCTTACTTATCTAGAGCTGCAGGTTAAGTGACTCTGAAGGGACTTGGAACACAAGCATGAGATTATAGCTGGCTGGTTGTCTGTGGGCGCGCCTGACCTGGTCCAGATCCGGGCCACCTGTGTAGGCTAGCCTGCCCTCCCGTCTGCCTCCTGTGCTGTTTCCAGGAAGTGGTCACCAGGCAGCCCATTGCCACTTTTTCCCTCCCCTTCAACTTCCCCCAACTAGCCATGCAATTATTATACTATTTACTACAAAAAATATAGATAATGTGAATATACAGTATATAAATCTAAGGAAGTAAACGTAAGATGTTAGATGAATTGCAGCAATTATGTTAGGCATAATAAGATACAACAGATGGGTGCAATAAGTAGGGCGATTCAAAACACAACTAGTCTCGGTTTATCTCAGTGAATGGGCAGAGCTCCCTTGTCTTGGCCTGTGTGTCTCTGTTCAGCAGTCGATAGGTTAACCTGCCCGTGGCATCCATCTTGTGTGGCCCCCCTCGCATTACCATTGATCTGAAGGAAATAAAGAGCACACGTATTATTATATACAGCCCAGAAAAACACCCTCTCACAGTGATGGAGTGAACAGGCCAAATGTATGAAATATTGCCCCTGCGACATATTCTGTCTTCCTGTCAATAGTGCAGCCTTTGCCCACATCCCGGATCAATAGGGACTTATCTTTTCATGATAACACATAACGATGTTGTCTGTTGTCTTTTCTGATATTGAAGTTCTAATTCCATCCCTCCGCCTTTTTAAATCATCTATACTGATATGTATATTTGGACAACTCTGTCTTGTTTTTTTTTCCTTGTTTTTTTCCAAAAGAAATAAAATTGCCATGGGCCTGCTAGTCTGAGACATGGCAGTTACAAATTTACATGTTGGTTTTCTGGACGTTTCTCTGAAGCTTTTGGGGGTCTCTC